AGCCTGAATTTGGATGTTGCTGCAGCGCTCGATGTTGTAATTAGCCACTGCGGTGTGGGAGGTTGTCGCGGGACCGTGAACGTTCTCTGGTGTGAGTGGCAGTGCTGATGTTGGTGGCCGGGGTAGCTTGTGGTGGGGGACCTGTCCAGTAAGAGTGTAGACGTTCTGCGTCTTGTGGTGGGGTACGTGGTGAGGGAGAGGGTGAACGGCTGGAGAGTCCGGGTGGTAGTGGAAAACCTGGCGGTATGTCGTGTAGAATGGCCAGGTTTCTGCTGGAGAGTGAGGCTGTGGGGTTGATGCGGTATTGTCCTGGGAGCCCTGGGCCGGTGGTAACGAATTGAAGGAGCCGACGAGCCTGGGAGAGGTTATCAATCAGACGGTCCAGCAAGATCAGGTCACCGCGCATTCGGTAAAGGAGGTTGTATGCTCTCTGGTCCTGAAAATATGTCTGGCTTGGCATAGGTTCAGTGTGAAATGGGTGATGGCGGAGGTGTTGGTTGACCAGAAAAAGAAGGTCCAAGGAGCTGTTGAGGGATTGAAAGTCAGGCTGAGTGCAAATCGAAGGTTGGAGCCAGCTCGGAGGGCGCTGTGGGAGGTAGTGTTCTGTGTCGGCGGTGTTGCCATGAGGGCGAGCGCGAGGATTGGCCATGACAATTGGTGCAATAAAATGGCGCACAAAAGGCTGCGGAGCTGGAGTGAGCCTGAAAACTGAAAAACCGAAGTTGGGCCAACCTGGTGAAAGTGGACAGGACGTGAAAAACTAAATGTCAGTGCATGTCAGTGGATTTGTCCTGCGGCACGCCGTAGAGAAAGCTAGGTGAAACGGGTCAAATGAAATAACTGCCAACGGGCGTAAGTGGAGATTTCTCCGGATGACTGTTCTCACTAAGTTCTCGCTCAGTGGCCGGCGTCAGCAGCATAGCAGCAGGAAGTGATCGATGTGGTGAAGTCGGTGGCGTTGTTATGGGGGAAGGGGAAAAATCCGGTTGTGAATGTGGTGCTGGGGAAACTGCTGGTGAGGTGGGTGTTGGTGAGAGGGAGGGTGCTTGTCTTGGTGGTTCTGTTGGTAGTGGTGCGGAGGAAAGTTGCTGGTCTTGCTGACGTTGCATGTCTTTGAGTTCTTGCCATCGGGCTTGGCATTGCTCGACGGAGAAGCCCACTCGGCGAGCCACAGTGGTCCAGTTGGGACGAAGTCTGGGGTTTTCTTTGAGTTCGACCAGGCGGCAGTCGGCGTCGCCGTCCCAAGCATCCCAGTCCGCCTGTTGGTTCAGTGGTGGTGGGAGTGGTTGCTTCCGCTTGCGTGTTGTGGTAGGTTGTGGAGCTGGGGGTGTTGTTGGTGTGTCGTCTGAGTCTTTTGAGGGTGGTGCTGGTAAACGGATGGGTGGTCTGGATGGTGCTGAGTCACAGGAGGAGGTGGTGGATGGTAAACGTATAGGGTGGTTAGGCGGAGTTGGAAGTGGCTGAAAGTGTTGGCGGAAAGTGGGATCCGCTTGGTGGATGTGGTGGAGGAAATGAGTGTGAAGGTGTGCTACAATATCTGTTGCTTGTCTGAGCAGGTTTTGCACCTGCGAAAGTACCACTGTGGTTCTGTGTATGAGAGTGGAGGTGTCGTTGTGTAGAGGTGTCGGTGTGCTGCTCATGATTCGGAGATGTAGGGATGTACAGTAGCACAGAATCGTCACGGGTTGCTGCAGCAGCGCGCCAAAGCAGCCGGACAGCGGCGAGTCTGCGGGAGCGCGTCATCACGAGGCCGTGCATATGAATTAAACGAGCATCAAATTCCCACAGGCATGGTACGAAAATGCAATGCCGGTTGGACAGTCAAGTGCATGAAACTCTGACATGTGAAATACTCCATCAAAACAGCCGGTACGATTCGAAGAAAGATGTTTACAGCAAAAACTGCATAGCTTGAAAAATTGAGGGTTCAAAATTCGCGTGGCCGCTGCAGGAGGCTCTTTTTGGCTGCTACGAGCAAAGGTTAGGTGGTGGTGTGAGACCAAAGGTGGATGTGGAGGTGGTAGTGGTGTGTAGGTGTGGGACAGTGGTGTTATGTGTCAGGTGGAGTGGAGTTTGTGGACCAGGCCAGTCCTTTGACAATGGCGTGGTCCGGGTGGATCACCCAGCAGCGGCCCTTCTGATGGAAGACTGCACCATGGTGATCGTTAAGGAGGTTCATGGCGTGTTCCTCACCTCCGGAGGTATATTTTGTGGCAGCACCCCAAGCAAGGAGTGTGATGATAAGGGAATGGGAGTTCTTGTGGAGTTGCCAGGTGTTGTGGATGATGCGGGCAAATTCGTTGTGGTCATGGGGTTGGTTGTGGGTGATGCGAACGCCCTGGGCAAAAAATCCAGGGTACTTGGCAAAGTGGAGTGTGCTGGGTAAAAATCGGCCTTGGCGTAGAATGTTGGAAATGTTGCCGACAGGGCCTGTGTGGCCTGCGTTGATGTGGGCGACTTCCCGGTGGGTTGATGTGGCTCGGGAAACCGCAGGCGGTTCTGGTGTAGTGGCTTTGGTGTTGAGGAAAGGAAGTGAAATGGCGTAGTATTGGAATTGGTCGTATTGGTGAGTTGTGTCGTTCCACTTGGCGTGAGTATATTGCCGGAAATCGGTGATCTCCTTGTAGGTGATGTTGCAGTCTGTGAGGAGATTGGCAATGTACTGGCGTTGTGGTCGGTTGGGGTTGTCGAGTTGGGTGGCGTGGAATTCAAGCCATTCCAGGATTTGGTCTGCAGGTGTAAAGGTGTGAAAGTTGGGTGGAGGTCGCCAACGGTTGATTGGGCGACGAAGGACGGCTGTGGTGGGAAATTGAGAGGGGTCTGGGTTGGTGTGTTCAGTGTTGGGGCGTAAATCGATGGGTTGTGGTGGTGAGCGACTGCGGGATGGTGTAAGGCTGGATGTGTAAGTGGATGTCGAGGGCGAACGCCGTCGCCGGGTTGTGCTGTGGTGCTTGGAGTGGTGGTGATGTCGATGTCGGCGGCGGTGGCGGTGGCGTCCTCTGCGGTGATGGTCGGACTTGTGTCGGTTCTTGTGGTGGTGGCGGCGACTGCTGTGTGGTGGCTGCGGGGAAGGTGGTTGTGGTGCTGGTGAGACAGTGGTGTCAAGCTTGTCTGGTGCAGGTAGTGAAGGTCCGGGTGCTGGTGTGGCTGATGCAAGCGATGGTGATGCAGAATGTTGGGATACAGTAGCTGGAGGGGTCGTGTTTTGGACCGGCAATGGAGCGTCCGTGGCGGTTGTGGGGATGTGTTGGATTGGTGGTGCTGGATCGGATGGTGTCTGGTGTGGGAGTGGAGGCTGGACTGGTGGTGAGGCGTTGATGGTTTGTGGAGGTGGTGGTGGGGGCAATGGTTGGGGTGGAGGCTGTGTGACTGGGGGAAAGGCTGAATAGGGTTGCCAAACGCCCTGGGGGATGGCGCATTGTGGGTCTGTGGATGGATGATTGGCAATCGCGGTCTGTTGCTGTGTTGGAGGGGGATGTGTCAGTGTAGTGGGGGGAGGAAGTTCAGCCGGTGGTGTGGGATGAAGTGGTGGCATCAGGTATGAAGGGGGAGGTGCTGCTGACGGAAATACTGGAGTTGGATGTGTGGGCTGCGGTGGCACGTGACATGGTTGCACAAACGTCCAAGTGGATGGTGTGCCGTAGGTCAGTGCAGTGGCGGTAGGATTGGACAAAAAAGGTGGTGGTTGAAATGGTTGTGGTTGTGGGTGAGGGTATGCCGATGGTTGTGTCGTGGGAAAGGTGGGTGCAGTTGATGGCTGTGGCAGCGGCCATGTGGGTTGAGGTTGTGTGGTAGGTAATGGTGGTGGCGTGGCGTGAGCGTATGGCCACGGAAAATGCATGTCGCGGTCGTAGCTATGGCACGGCGCGGCAGCAAAAAGGCAGCGGAGAAGTGCCGAGTTGTATTGTCCTGTTATTGTTGAAAGTCTCATCTCTGGTGTCGATGGAGAGTATGTTGTAAGGTGGTGCTAGATGTGAGCTTGTTGGTAGGTGTGTGTTCATGCATCTCGAATTAGACTGAAGAGCTCTAATGCCCATCCTTGAGTTCTGCCGATGAAAGAATCACGGCATCAACATGGCAAAACGTGGAAACACGCACATGACTTGGAGAAATGAAATGACGGATCCGAAATCTGGAAGCTGAAATCCGATGTATTCTTCAAGAACCGTTTTTTGGCCCGGCGGCCGGTATGTCAGTTGATTCGGTGAGGGTGTCGGTGCCTTCCTGTGAGAGTCCAGTGAGTGGTGGTGCGTTGGGGTGGTTGCTTTCCCATGCAAGATCGGCGCCCCTGTGACGGGGATCACACTCAGCACCCGAGTGGGACGGCTGAGCGGGACACACTTCGACACTGGTTTTCCGTTAAAGCTCAATCTCTCCGCTGGGAAGGAAGGTGGTGGAACAGCATGGCGAAAGGTCCGAGAAAATTGTAGATGTTTGAACAAAAGTTGTTTCTCTTGACTGCGGTGACGAAGCGGTTCAAGCTGCAGCGCTGCTGGGGAGGAGCTGGTTTAGGGGGAGAAACATGAAGGACCATGAAACAAAGCGCGGAAGAGTGGTGTAACAGCTTGTGAAAGAACGAGCAGGTACGTCGGCCAGCGTCCTGGCCGATATCCTAGGATCATGTGAGGAGCTTCGTTGGATGGAGCCTCACATGTCCTCTCCATCCCCCTGCTCCTATAAAGTGGTTGTCCAAGGTAGTTGAAAAGCATGGAAAGAGTGGTAGTGGAAGACCCTTTGTCCAGGGGTGGACACACACACACACACACACGCTGCATCTTGGACAGTGCTTCCAATCAATTGGCAAAGACACAGAGCGTCAAGTTTGGGATCCCAAACAACACGGACTCCTGAACTGTTTGGGGCAAAAAAAACACTCTAAACGCCCATGCTGCTGCTCCCCAACAAGTTGGACATCGGATCCTTGCAGCCCAGACATACCAAGACCGTCCAGCACGGCGGGACCCTCCGGGACCGTCCGTCCGGCGTGGTCCCCGCCGGTCCTCAGGTCCAAGAGCACGCGCACCGCGTCGTCCTTCCCCGCAATGCAGGCCACGTGCAGCGGCGAGCGCCCGAAGCGCGTGGTGGCTTCCACCAGGGCGAAGGGGTTCGTGGGCACGGAGGCCACCAACTCGCGAATGGCCTGGTGCTTTGGGCGGTGGTGGATTTTTGCGTGGGTGATTGGGGCTGGGGGAAGAGTGGTGCGTCTTGAGGGGTTGGAGCTTCTTGGTTCTGGAACAAGTATGGCTTTGTTCAATCGGGCAACTTGCACTTCCAAGAACACTCTCATGGCACATAGCACAATGATGCACATAATGGCAAGTTACCCCCTTGACAAATCCACACCGGCAGGACCTGTACCTGTCTGTCTCACTGCACACTCACCCATCCAAACCTCGCTATTGCCATGCTTGGCAGCCCAATGCATGGCAGTCATCCCGTCCTGCGCGCGGAGGGAAGCGAAGCCAAGAACGGTGAAGTGTGTTGCGCACTGTCTCCATCTACTAATTACATGGAGGATGGGATTCCTCTGGTCCTAAGACAGTGCGGGAACTGACCCGCCGGATATGATTCTTGAATTATCAGGGTCATTTTCTTGAGTGCTGTTGCTCCAAGTCGCCGAGCCATACTAAACAAGTACAAACCTCCATTGGGAGGGGTCGAAACCTACTAAAATAGCATGTCCTGTGATAGAAAGGATTACAAAGACATCACTGCCCCATCTTCGATGGGTTGGCCTCATCCGCCAAGGGTAGACTTCCAGGGTCCCAGCCGACCGAGTCGGGTCGTCTCGTCTCCTTCTCCGTGGAGGTGAGATCTGCCTGGTGCGAAACCAAGACCAGCACTACCTTGAAGTGCCCGTGCCTGCCATTTTTTGGACATCCATGGACGTTTGGATGAATCCCACAGGACGTGAACATCCAGAGGATGATGATGGAAGGATGGTCTTTTTCTGTGAAAACAAGCCACCTCAGTGAATTCAAGCCCTCATGTACTCTTCTTCCCACAGCTCTCGTTCCAGCTTTCGGTGCCGCACCCGCCGCAACCGCCGCCACACGGGACACGGTGCCTGGCGGCCGCGAAGAGGGGCGTGACCCCGTTGGCATCTGCGGCGTGGAGCTCTGCCCGGCGGCGCAGCAGCAGGTCGCTGACCGACGCGTTGCCGCGCCGCGCCTCGGACGTCGCTGTCGGTGCTGGTCTTTGAATCATATGGTGCGCCCCTTTACTGGCCTGAAAGGAGAGTTTTCGTCTAAAGGTGGACTAGTGGTTTTGCCCGTTGATTACGACATATTACGACACATTCTTTCAGTCAATATCAGTCATTAAACAAGCTCCCTTCCAGTATCTTCAAGCTCAGTGGAACTCCCAACATCGATGGATCATCCATCCCCGCCAGTCGCCGTCGCCCCGCCAGTTGCCTTCGATGGATCGATCGATTGCCCGAGGCGCGCTGAGATAGAGTGGAGTTCGTTGGTGGCTGCAGCGGACTTCCAAGTCACTTTTCAGGTCCAAGAGCTTCCTTGGAGAAGAGCGACTCGACGTCACGGACGGAAGGCTTCAGTCACGCTTCAGTCACTCCGGACGGGAGTTCCTTTTCTTCCAAGTCACTCCAATCTCAGGTACTCAAAAAACATATAAAGAAAACACAAGCTTCCTTGGAGCTGAAGGGGGACCGGGACCCCTTGAGATGGAGGCGCTTGCTGGACTTGCCCTGCTTTGCACTTGGATTTGCTCGTACATTGCATCATTCCCTGAAGAGGAAGTAGCAGCCATCCCCGGCTCGGCCATGCTCGCCCCAAAAACGTCAGTTGGAGGACATTGGAGGATGATGATGAGATATGATTATGATGAGGTGACCCAAGGTCTTGCCAGAAATGTCACGGACTGGAATATGGGCCACCCAAAAGAACGATCCATTGAAAAGTGAGATAAAGATCCTTTGTACAAATAGGGCGCAGCGAAGATTTATCCATCCCTACCGGGCAGTAGTTATCCAAGCATCTCCGCCACGCCAAGGCTCCCCCACTGGGCACTGAGGTGAAGTGGAGTCTTGCCACTGACCTGGCAAAGTGTCATGGAATCGACAAAAGGTGGATAACACCAAGCTGGACAGCGGTTCTGTACTGGAACTCGGTGGCCTTGCACGAACAAATATTGAACAAAGCCACCACAGAAATGGTCAAGAGCCGCATGTGCGTGAATAATCACTCTTAATTAATCTTTATTAATGCTCATTCTCCTCTTCTTTTGTGACTACCCGACATCAGTTTGTGACGTGCTTTCGCGGAAGCCTTGAGACGACCCCGACGATCCCACTAACTGCGCAAACCAGAAACGGTGTGTCTTGGGCGTCTTCCGCCGGGGCTGTAGAAAGGGGCAACGACTCATCAAACCCTTGAGAATGATCTTGCTGCTACGCTGGTCCACCCTGAGACGTCCTGAGATCGCAACAGGTGACACATTGCAACACACTGTGATACGTAGACGTAGATGGCTTGAATTGGCCACGTCAAAGACCAGGAATGCATGTTTGAATGCCCTTTTTGTCTCACACATTGGCGTCCTGCGCACTTGTCTGATACACATGCATACCCAATGATATTGGTTTGGATGAGACCTAAATACCTAGACGTACTATGAAGTTTCCCTTTTTAGGTTCTTTTCCAGCACTGGCCACTGGAAGCACTTCTGACTGATCCTCCCAAAACCGGTCACCTGCCTCCCACAACCCTATCATCCAGCTGCTTCTGCTGAATTGCACCCATCAGCGCCCTGAGTCTCCCCACATCCGTGGCTGTGTGTGTCAAGAAGGCCTCCAGCTCCTAGTCAAACGACCCAAGAGACACGTCGAAGGCGTTCCGGACCGACCCCCCATGCGTCGTGCGCTTTTGCTGTTCTTCGTTTTTGGGCGCAACAAACATCACCATCGAAGCTCGTGTTGGAGGCAAAAGAAGAACGAAATGGAGACTGTTTGCCGAACGAAGGTCTTCCAAAGATGAAAACAACATACCAGTAAACCCAGGTTTGTTGGATAGGGGGTACTTTAATCCCGAGATATCACCCAAATTTGTTCTTGACCCCACGAAATTCAGGTTCCACTATGATGAATCCATGTTCAAAATGATTTTTGCTGGGCATTACAAACCAAATAAGGACTTCCAGGCGCTCATGTTCCAGGCGAGTCATGTCCACGCTTTTCCCCCCCCCCACCCAAAAAAGGAGGTTCTCCTCAATCAGCTCGGGTTCCACGTTGAAGCAGGCTGCTGTATGCAGCATGCTGCGTTGGTTCTTGAGGTCCTAAGAAGGGAGACCCTTCGGCGGCCGAGTTGGTTCGCTCAGCGGTTCGCCACGTCGCATGGGTGACTGGTCGAAGGGCTCGCGTCACAAGCAATGCGGCCAAGCTGTGCACCCAGGTGGCTTTGGTGCTTTGCCTTTCACCCTGAAAAACCCGAATGACGATCAACCCCGCATGAATCACATCCCAGAACTTCTGATTACTCGTTATGACTCGTTTTACCCCATATATATATATACACACGGATATATAAGTATATATATATAATGTATCATTATGTATACAAATATATAGTATTATGTTATATATATATATATGTGTATATATATATATATATATATGTGAACAATGTGACCTTTGTACACACTCTGTGAGTCTTCTCCATCACATCGGTTTGTCCTCACGTGATCAATGAAAAAACAACAAAAACCCCCAACAAAAACCTCATCCGTTCTGAACCCATGGTCGTTACCGGCACCACTTGGACGTCCGTCCGGGACCGAGTTGGGGTCGTCCCAGTCGCGACCAGCTCCACATCGGCAGCGCCCTCCAGGAGGCTTCGGCTGCAGGACGCATGGCAACGCCTGCGCAGTGGAGGGCGTCACAGCAAGAATCAGCCGATGTCGAAGAATGACAACAGTTCTATAATGGGGAATATACATAAATACGTTTCCTTTTATGGGGGGTCAGCTTTAACCAACATGTTCATGTTCAGTTCTGGTTATAAAGGGATAGCTTATTCTCAAACTAAACTTCTTTTATCTTCTTTTGTTTTGAATGTTTTTGATAGTTCAAAAGCAAACTTGGTGACGTTTCTGCTTCTTGCTGTCAACTTCCACTGCAAAGACAAAGAAGCACACCATTTTGGGGTTGTCCAAGAATGTGGGACCCAAGGGTCTAGCAACAACATGCAACAACTGAGGGTAGGTCCACACGTGGAGAGGCCCCTGCAACAGCCCCTGTAGGAAATGAGGCCTTTGCGGTTCCTCCAATGGTCCGTTCTTGGAGCTAAAGCTAAAACACAACGATGGACTTCTGAACCATTCTGGAAAACTATTCCTCTCCCAACAGGTCAGTTTGACCTCATTTTGCTGGAGTTGAATCATACAACAGCACGACTCAGCTGAGGTTGTTGGGACCAGGTTGTTCAGGGTCCTTTGGACAGTCTGTTCACCACATCCAACTGGTCCAACTGTCCATCCGTTGCACTCGCACCTCAGCGTCCAATGCAGGGGTGTCCACCCAGCACGGTCCCGCACATCTAGAGGACAACGAAAGGCCTCATTGACCACGGTGGCTTGGGCGTTCGCTTGGAGGTTCGCTCGCGAACATGAGTCCTCTGCTCACCTGTCGGCCACCCTATGCAACATCCGTGACGGTAACTGTAGGTCGCTCGTACAGAAACCACGTGGTACCGTATTTCTGTGCGAACTCGCAGGTTTGGGGGGGAGAAACATCGGATCGATGGTCATTGACGGACGGTTGGAGTCTCGATGGTCATTGCCACGGGGACTCATCGGGACCCGTCACGGACCAACGACACGGAGCATCCAACGGATGGGAAGGCCCGAGGGCCCAAGGGCGTGGGACGTCCAACAGCGCGTGGAGCCCATCGAAGTCACCCAACGAAGCTTCCGCGTTTTTGTGATCGAAGAACCTCCTCAAACTCCCCGTGGGCGCAAGCAGAAGCAGGGAGTTGTTGGATGCATGGTGCGTGGGAAGAAAGTTTAAAGAGCACACTGCAACTACATCAAGATCATCAAGTTTGTACGACTTGGCACAGTTACTGGTACCATCTGGTACCACCAGAATGGTCGATTCAACCACACCAAAGGACACACCTCAGAATTCCCATCCTGCTCGCGCGCGCGATGGATGACGTGGGTTCTTTTCCCGATCTCTTCGGACCCAACGACCAACACCTCTCGGCGCCCAACGCAGGGTCCGCTCTCCGGACCGCCCGCGTCCCACCGCGGACCCGCGTCGGACCCGCGCGACGGGGAGGCGCCGTCGGGGCCGCGGCACGAGGAGATCCTCGGCCACTTCCGTGTGGCCGTTGAGGGCCGCCCAGTGCAGCGCGCTGCGGCCGAAACTGCGGGCGCGAGCGGAGCGGTGGACCGGAGTGGTGACCGTGAGGAGTGGTGGTCAACCCTTGAAAGCCACTACAGGCGCACGCAAAGGTTCTGTGGGTGCATGAGCGGTTCTGTGCTTGGAGAGGAAGCATTGCAAACTCAATATGTTAATCACTAAGATCTATAATATATATATATATGGAGATATGATGATTACATATGATTACTCATGGCAAACTCTTTCAAACATGTCTTGAGGTGTTGCACTTTCAATGATGATCTACAAGCTGAGAACTTGGAAGTTCTTCCAAAAAAAACAGCAAGTCTTGATCGGATGCGGATGCGGATGCCAGTGCGGCCAGACAGACGATCAAGGATTCTGAACATGTGGAATGGACTATCTGAGCAGTGGTTTTGGAGGACAGCACCGTGATAAAGCCCTTACATCGAGGTTTTTGACGCTGCTCATCTGACAAGTTCTTCCAACTGAACAGCTGGATTACTCGATGACTGCACTTTGACAGTGGAATGGGTAGGTCAGCAGGGCGCAGGCCACACACAAATGCGATCACAGTCACTAATGGGGAAGCCCAATCTGTGGAACACCATCCTGGGCCTAGATCCCATGACGAATCAACGCATTCCCCAAGCAATTCACCAGCTCAGATTACGGGCACCCACCGGATCGGACGGAACTCACCTTGTGGTGGCCGTGATGTCAGCATGAAGTCCTGCAACGAGTTTTGAACATTCTGACATTGATGAGCTTTCTGAATTGAGAACCAAACTGCTTCTAAATCATGGGAAACCAGGATAGGGTTGGCTCGATTCTAAAAGTATTTCCTGGGGTATAATACGATTATATCCGATCATATATGTATTAAGCACGCTGTAACTGTAACAACTTGTTCCAGTGAGTGATGATCGACTTGGAACATAGGGATTGTCATTGAAGGAGCGGGCCGCTGGGATCTGCTACACAGTTTCATGCTGAGTTCTCAGTGAAACTGGTAGGACTCACTACTACTTCAAAATAGCACCCTGCAAGGATGGTGTGTTGCATCACACAAGTTGGTCTGCAGCACAGTGACATGCCGGCCTCGGAGCAAGCCCACACTCTGTGCGCTTTTCTGTGTTGAGACGTCAAACCACTTCAATGCAAACATTTACTGTAATCAGGTGGTTGCGTACACATCACGCTCCTGAAAACCAATCCAACCCCGCCATAACCCACCTCTCAGTTGATGTCCAAAACAAACAAACACTCAAATTCGAAAAACCATGAACAGCATATTCCACACATTGACTCTGCCTCTACCCCTATAGTTCACATCCATGGCATGGTACGGACCGAACTCCGGGAATCCGCTCGCAGACGCCGGTCCGAGCAGCGCTGCCACCGTGGCCCGGTGCCCGAAGCGCGCGGCCAGGTGCACCGGGCGCGTGAGGTCGGCGTCTTCGGCGTCGACGGCGAAGCCCAGGGAGGCCAAGCACTGTCGACGTCGAGCTGTCTTCGGTGGTCGCGACGCAGTCGGTGAGGTGGGGAGAAGACGGTGCGAGGAGCGGTCGGACGGTGCGAGGTCTTTCTGTCGAAGTGTCGCTGCCCGAAGACGGGGATTCCGAAGCAACACCCTCATTCCTTGACAATTCGTCGAGCTTGGATAGCCGAATATGGAAGATATGCCCCCAAAGAGCTTGGGGACATCCACGGGTGAAGCATCGAAACATGGAATCTTTAGGAACCGGAGATGGATGATCTATGTATATAGCTCGGGTATGCTCGGGTCATGTCACGGTGTCCATTCGTCACGGGTTTCCTCAGAGGATTTCACTAAGGTGGACCGAGTCGCTCGCTCCCTTACATCCGGAGCATGTCCATGGTATAGGGCCTGAATCCCAGCTCCCAACCATTGTTTCTTTTAAAGAGGAGTTTAAACACCACAAAACCAGGTCAATCATTTGAACTCAAATGGGTCTTGGATGGATGGTCCGCGTTGGATGGTTTGGGCCTCCAAGTGCTCTGGAGCACCCATCGACTCGACCACAAATCACGAGGAGACAGTTCTTGGTGGTTGCTAGGTGTGGCTCACGACCCATGGAACACGACCCAAAGAGGAGCCTCGCTCAAATTGGAATTTAGGGGCAGTGGCTCATGGAATCTTGGTTGGGGTTCTGATATATTGTAATAATCTATAATTAAATATTATACATATATATATACACATCATGTTTTTTTCCTCTTCCGCTGATTTGAGATCGTTAGTCAACAAAAACGTCTAACAAGTGACAAGTGCTTCCAGTGCTTCCAGCAACGGTCGTGAACCCGCAAAAATGGGGACACGCGGGAGTTGTGCTGCTAGCACCTCGTGGGGTTGACGAACGGTTCGGCAAATAGACCCATCTACCCGTCTACCCAGCCAGTGCCAGGGGGTCTCCCTATTAAAATACACAGCCAAATAATTACGTGTTCTTTCCGCGGACTGGACTCTCCTCGCCTCCAAGACATCCGTGTGATTCCACTGTGCTGCCAGGTGCAAGGGTGTCCGTGCCCGCTTCTGGCGCTCTGGAACGCTACTGCGGCGGAAGCGCGGTGGCCGGACATGCCAAGCAAAAAAAAAGACACTTCTGGAATCACATACTTTTAAAGGTGCCTGGAAAACGCTTGTTACTGGTTTCCAAGTGTTTGGATGTCTTGTTTGCAAAATTGCTTTCGGGAATGCTCTGAATGTTGCTTGTTTGAAAACACCCGGACAGTGCCCGAAATCTGAGACCCAAAGGTGAGAGCCCAAGGCCCGCGAACGGTTCAGCAAAGGTATCAAAAGAACATTACTATCATTACTGCATGCGTGAATTGAAAGGTGTACTGCACTCTGTACTCGCCTTCCTGAAGGGTACTCTTTCTGATTCCAACAAAAACTCATCTACACGCGAAAACTGCCAAAAATACGTCAAAGTTCGGGATTGAGGACTTAATCTTCCACACTTGATGGAAGGCTCCCCTCAGTCCCCAATCCGCACCTGGCGTTGATGTTGAGCGCATGAAGTGCCTCCACACTGCCGGAGAGCACCGCCAAATCTAAGGTGCTCTGCTGCTTCTTGTCAAGCTCCTGTCAGCATGGCACCTCTTTGGCAAGGGAGTTGCTTCGACCGACCCCTAGGACCTTGGACCGGAGGCCAAAAGCGTTTTTTGGGGGATCAGTGGTTGGACCAGTGTTTCCTTGCGCGGAAACAGAATGCAAGTGGACTTATTAGTTAGTCATAGCCAGCAAAAGTCGCACAAGGAACCTCCGCTTCAGTGGTTCTGATTCTCATAAACCCGACTGCCACTTGAACACTCTCCCTCACTGGCTGTTTTTGCGGTGTATGCCTAATTAATTGTGGAAGTCAGTCAGGGCTTCACAATGGAAAGCAGGATGCTAAGCCAAGCAGGCAAGCTGCCAACAAATCCGTCAAACAATGGCTGTCCACATGTTCCAAGCTGCCAACCAATCCGTCAATATCCATCTGCTGCTCCGACGAGGCAGGGTTTTTCACGCTCTCACTGGATCGAATTGGGGCTGCCGAGGAATGGAATGCCAAGGGTATCTGGGGTGACCAAATCTGTGTCATATCTTAGAGCAAAGGGTGTGAGGCGACTAACACTTCTCTAGATTTTTTTGACTTTACAGGGGATGAGACGCGATGAGACCTGTCATGTCAGGTTTATGGACATTTATTTTGTCTGCCTGGACCATATTTAACTCAAAACACCCAAGCTGGCTGGGGGCCATCCAGCCCAACAATGCTGAGTTGCAAAGGAAATCAGGAAAGCGACTGAGTTGGCGATTGAGCTGATTCCGTCCAACTTGCTGGGCAAGCGCAAGTTCTTGACTTGACCCTACTTAACTTTTAGCCGCTCTGCCAGCCGACTCCTCCAATTTTTGTTCATGGAGCGTGCCATCAAGGAACTGCCAAAGTGTCGGAGTATAATGGAACAGGAACCCCGACATCAACTTCTGAAATCTTCAATGCAGCAAGAAGAATCGTCTTTTCTCTGCACGCCTTTACGTGGAAATGCGGTACATGTACTTTACACTCTTGCCCCGTGAAAGTGGCCTGGGGCTTTCCAAGGAACTCGGAATGCCCAGGATGAATGACCGAGACGGTCTTCCCCTCTTCAGGACCGGGATCTGAACTTCAAGTCTTGGATACCTCGCAAGAGCATGCATACTGCATACAAAAAAACATATATATATATATATATAACACGTATTAACACGTTATGTATCTGTTTTTTTGATGGAACGTTACATGCTCAGGGGCCTCAGGGGTGTGTACTATATATAAACCATTGAATCACCGTTCTTCGAGTGGTACAGGATCTTCTGGAGGCGGTTTGGGAGATTCGGGCGGTGAATTTGCGCCCGAACTCCTGCGGCCTATTTGCACTGTAATGCGCAACTGCCACACTGCCATGGGCCAAGAATTCATCCAGCATAGAGAGGGGAAGGCGGACCATGGGCGACGGGATGAGGGATTGGCGATGAACAGTTAAAGGGGTGAACAAAGGAAACACTTCAGGACACAACTGAACCAACTTAGTTCTATAACTGGGCATTTCGCAAACCCAAATCTCCAAACCAAACCAAGAGGTATTCGGGAGGTCAGTACATTGTACCAGTCTGCCTGCAGCTCTCCCACCAAAAACATCAGTGGAGTCCTGACTGCGGCCGCCCCCAAGCGAGCGAGGTTCATCCGCTTTGTAGCGAAGCGAGTTCCCTACGGTTCCGCCGCAGCTCCTGGAGGATCTCCTCTGGCTTGTGGAAAGCCGCCAGAGCAGCTAAGAGCTCCCCATCACCTGGCACTAGGCCGCCCTTCTCCCCAAGAATCTGAGATTAGGTCACGAATTTCATGCAAGTCAACTGGTGCCTCATTCCTAGAAGGTTGAGAAGTAACAGCCAAAATCTTTTGGCAGGTAAAGCTCATGAATCTGACGTTTAAAGAATGCATCTAACTGCTTTGCATGCCCGAAAACTTATGAAAGCCACAATTCAATGTTTGCTCACATGGAGGGGAAACCGCTTCCTTCCGGCGCACCCCCAGTCAAACTTCATGAACACCATTGACAAACCAGCATCCAGCAAGGACATAGAACATATACTTTCTCCATCTTTCTCCTACTGATGACATCTTCCAGCTCTTTGATTCAACCCCCAAGCAAAAACCAGAACCCACCAGTCACCTAAGAACGTCCCGTCACACCATTCTACACATGGGGAGCTCTGCCATCCTCTCTCGGTCCGCTGCCGGTCTTGCCTGATTCCGCTGCGCGATGCAGCGGCAAGCGCCCCAGGAAGTCTCGTTCATGCAGTCCAGGCTTTGGAAGACCGGCCTGGATGGGACAGAATTGACTGTAGACTCTTGATGCTAAAGATGTATGTGGGGGGTTTTTATAAGACTCTTGAGGAACAACCCCATCCAAATGGGAGGGGTTATTCATCAAGAGTTTACATTGCCCAGTCATTCAACGGAGCACCTTTGCGCTCGCGCTTCGGGACAAGTAAATGATCACCCCCAGACACTCCATGGAACTACGATACATGCCGATCAGTTGGGGTGGTTTGAGGGGTCAATGTAGGTACAGTCCCATGTGTCGTGTCTGGGACCGTGTGCCAAATCCTCCCGTTTCGACCCTTCGCCAGAAAGGATGTATGGCTGCAAACGCGAGAAGGCAAGCGTTTCTGAGGTAAAAGAAGGTTAAGGATAGATGATAGATCTATAGACTTCAAAGAACATAGACAATGACGAACAAAGTACAGTACTATGTCTCTGGGAGAAAAAGCTACGTAGCATCCTTGCACCGCCGCCACACCAGGGAATATCAAGTATATAACATTATATAACATCAATGATGTCCTACACGCAACTCAGTTGTAGGGGGGAAAACACCTCCAGCTGCAATGTAGTAGGAAAGTGTTGTCTCGTTGGAAAGGAGGTGGAGCTGTGTAAAGCTAGCTTTTTTCGTGGGCTGCTGGTTTAGGGAGAATGTGCACATATATATATATATATATGTATTTGAACAAGAAGTCAAATACAGCAAACACCTACAAAATACAGCTTTCACACCTGCATCATTCGGTGCAATTTCGTGTGTAAACTCATCTCGCAATTTCGCGAGGTTCCAGATTGACCCAACCGCAGCCTTGAAGACTCCCGGTCTCTCTTTGCGCTACTCTCTCCGCTACTTTCCGTGTGAATGTGTCGTGAGCAAGCTCACACTCCCCTTTTACCAGAATCGCTGCCCCAGCTGAGTTTTCCAGGAACAAAATAACACCCTACAAGTCAACTCACATCATTTTACTGGAGATGGTCATACAAAACCAATACTTAAGGAGGTCAAAGACCCGGTTTTACTGGGTCTTTGGACTTGTAGGGAAAGGCTCTTTGAAAGCCTCGCTCGCGGGTGAGTGTCCATCGAATCAGCACCTCCGCACCAACCGCACCCAACCGCAAACGTCACGTCACCGCGCCAGGAACTGGATGGTCTCCGGATTGCTGTAGCGCGCAGCCAAGTGAAGGGCCTGAAAGGAGCGAGCGGTGGAGGTCGTCCCAATTCGGTGGGGACGACTGGAGGAAAGGAAGGGTAACTACTGGGAGTGAGTGGATCAGGTGACTGGAGTGAGTGGATCAGGTGAGTGGATCAGGTGGTCAAGTGGATCAGGTGTGATCAAATAATATGTGATGATGAGGGGCCAAAGCATTCCTGACATGGCGCCTGGACCTGATGCGCCAGGTCTAAAGTCTCTGACCTCACGAAAGGTCCAAAAGCATTCCTTGCAACTGCGCCTGCTTCAGGTTCTATGTCCATCACGTTTCTTGGAACAGAAACTGTCTCAGTGTGGTGGACTTTGGTGGACTGGTGAATATGACCATAGGTCACCATAGGTCACCTCCACCCCAAACGCCAAAAGCTCCCCAAAAGCTCCCGTCCATCTGTGCCGTCCCGATGCAGATGCCGGCAAGCCTGCTGTCCCAGCTCATCCGATCGCGCATGGATCTGGTTCATCAGCACCTCTTGTTGCTGTTCCAACTCCAAGCGGCGCCTGGCGAAACGACGGCACGACGGCGCACGGAAGAACGACGCGTTCGAGCGGATGTCATGTGTCTCTTGGATCGGATTAGAAGACATAGAATGACATAGATATGGAAAGGATGAAGGTGATCTTCTCTCAAAGAATATGGACAGGATGCCGTTATTCTTCTCAGTCTCAGTGTCGAACGGTTTCTGAGAGCAACCTTTTTGAAGATCCACGGTGAAGATCGGTGAACCTGCCCTAGTCGATTCCCTCGAACTCAACACGGCAAGCATCAAATATCATTATATCATCCTACCATATCATATCACACACATTAACTACAATATATATATATACATATAGTGTGTATATATATATATAGACAAGAACAACAAAGACAATATAGTTGTAAAACATAACAACAACAACAACAACAACAACTCTTTCTTTCATTTCTTTCACACGCACTCGAGTGAGTAGCGCCGCCCTGCGGCCATAGGCCGGACTCCTGTTGGAGATCGTTTCTGTACTGTTGCAATTAGCAGGAAGTACCCGCAACGTCAGCTGGAGGAAAGCTCGGTCAAAATCATTGGGTTGAGGCCAAGCTTCAAAACGTCAACTGGGGTGCCATTCACCCTTCATCGAGCCTAAGAAGGCCGAAAGAACCAAAATTTGGGTCCACTCTCACTGGGCCGGCAGTCATCTATCCGCAGCATCGCCTCCTCTGCCCCAGCAGCCGAAGGCCGTCCAGCGCCCAGCAGCAGCAGGCGCAGGTAGCAGCGGTAGGCTGCAATCTCAATTTCTGCCAAGGAGCCGATCGATCGAAACGTCGGCGGCACGAAGGCGGCCCAGCAGGTCAGCTAAGGCAGCATCGTCCGGGTTGGGCGCACGCTGCGCCCGAGGCAATCCCGAATCATCTCGATTGGCAGCCAAGTTGCGGTGTCCTGAGTCATCCCTCGTAGGGAAATCCATGAGCATCATTGCCGTGGGTCGTGCAGCAGGGACCTGAAGATTCGGTTCATCCAGGAGAGCCTGAGAAGGTGGGACCTCAGTGCTGGAATGATCTGCAATGGCCCATCCGTGCGGCTGCAGACCTGAGGAGGTATCAGCAGGGCTCAAACGCAATGAAGGGCGGGTCAGAGTCTCGGTCTGAGTAGCATCCTCCTCAGAATCGTCTCCCATTGAAATGGGAAGCAGCCAAAACAGGATACCTCTTGTGTGCATGTACTCAGGAACCTCAGTCACGTGGGCAGGTGGCTGGTTGTCGTCACAAAGCCAAAATTTGCCTGACTGAGGATCTTTGAGCAAGGCCCTGAAATGACCCTTCAAGGAGTCACCCAGGTGAGCTACACATGCCACCACTTGATGCGCTAGCCATCTGAGCTCCAGTCCGTCTCGAAGGAAAAACGGAAGGAGTACAGGTTCCATGAACTCGACAAAGTTGAAGTGTCCTAGGAGCCGTGTGGAGTCGATCAAACGGTCCAGAAAGAAAACCTTAGGGCCTTGAGAGTTGGTGAATGCCGTAGTCATGGAGTGACAATGAAGCCAAGGAGTGAGCAACTCAGTCAGGGTCACCCTCTTTTTGTCCAGTTCGTACAGATGCACTAAGGCGATGGGCTGAAAATCACTGCCAGATTCATAGCAGCACAAACTTCCGGATGCCTCAAAGCGCCTCTCCCATGCTTGGGACAAGCGAGAAGATTTGCACCACAGCAACGCTTCACTGATGAACTCACCAATGTCACGCTGCTCCCCATGAGGTGTTCCCTCAAAAAGCTCAGCCAGGCAAGGATGACTGGCCAGAACCACCGGCTCATCCGCTGTCACGGATTGTAGCAACCCCTGAACTGCGTCCCATGCAGTTCGAAACGTGTACTCATCGAAGGACGAGCTGTGGAGCAAGGACCAAAACATGGTGACCAGGCCTGCATTGGCATAGCACCAATTGGCGGTGTTGGCACATTGCATGACCAGGAGCTGGTTGATCCATTGGTGCTTCATTGCCTCCCCTTGCGAGGGTGGAGGATGTCCTGGATGTCCTGAGCGATTTTGCTCCTCTGCAGGCCGTGTTGTTTCATCAGATGCCAAAGGGACGACCCCGTCAATTGCCTCATCACGCTGGACAGGGAGTCGTTCCTGAGTGAAATTTGGAGCTTCCAGGGCACGACATCTCCTTTGCTCTGGGCCGAAGCCATCGCGAAAAAGCGAATGCAATTGGAGGGTTCTTGAAATGCCTGTTGAAGTAGCCCCAGATGCGACTCCATCGTCGTCCACGAGATGGATGCAATTTGACTGACCACCAATTTTTGCTGCTGAGCATGCCACATCAAGTACGGAAAGCTCAAGTCCTCCAAAATGGTCAGACTCTTGACTGCCGCTGCCTTCGTGCCAGGATCTTCGAGTTGATGATGTAATTTCTGGAACCTCGAGACCAACTCGTTGAGGATGGCTTGTAGAAGGTACGACCTTAGGGGCATCTGTGTCTGATCTGGTGGTAGGTCTCGCCATTGATTTGCTGCTCTGAGCAGCAAGGGCACTGCTCCGGAGTTGCCCCGTTGGAAGAACATCACAAACGAGTCCTGCATAGAAACCGAGTTCAAAGAATCCTCGTGTCGGATCAGGAGTTGGCCCATCAGTCGGCATAGTTTGGTCACCGGCATTGGGTCCTCGTCCCTGGTGGAGCTGGTGGACCGAGTCGTCTCGGATCTCATTGGCGAGGGGCGGCGAGCTTGTCTTCTCCGCTGTTGGGAGCGTGGAGCATCCTCCATGCGAGCTCTCTTCTCTTGAGGTGGTTGGGCCATCTCTTCCTGAGACACGAGCATATTTAAGAATACTTGGCCCATCTGACTCAGTCGATCTCCTTCGGTGACCGGCATCCGGTCGTCCATCAGGAACTTCAGGACGAAGCCAAGTCAGTGCACAACCCAAGTTGCACAGGGTGGCACACTTGTGCTGGAGCTTGGCCCACACGCTGTCGTCAAGGATGGCGTAGTCCTTGTGACCTTGATTGCACCATGGACACGGCAATGGTTCCCGGAGGGCAGGTTGTTGAGCCGACAAAAACCGGTGCAGCAAGTGAAGGAGAAAGCTATTGTGTCCACTCTCTTGCCTATGATACTGTTGAAGATGCTCCATCAGCACGTTCGATGTACTCACCGTGCGAGCACAAAGCAGGCAGGAGTGGCTCAGTTCCTGACTATGGCGAAGAATGAAGGTCCAGGACTTCTCATCCGGGGCCAAGAGCCATGGTGCCAGCTCTGGAACCTGCGCATGAAGAGCTGAGTGATTGACCGAATCCGTGGTGGGCGTCCATGGAAGCATGAGCAACCGATGTCGTGGGTCAACCAAGTGTTGAAGCATTGCCAATTGTCGATAGGCCGGACATCGGTGCGAGCGGGGTTGAGGTACTCTACATGGGTTGCAGATGCAAGGCAACCGAGCTTCATCAATGGTGTTGGAGGTGAGATCTGCGGCACGATAGAAACCACCATGATGACATTGAAGATGTCTCACTAAGTCAGCTGTCCGGGAGTACGACTGTCCGCAGAAGCTACATTGCGTCGTGAGGTTGTGTCTCATCGTCGAGTCTCTGACCACCTCTCCCCATTTGCCAGCCTGGATCAGGGGCATGATGTAGTCGTCGCTCCTCATCACTGTGCCCAGTTCCTGGTCACCAAGTGGGTCCAGCTGTTCACATGATCCACGATCAATGCGCCGACGTAGTTCCCACAACTCCCCAAAGTGACTTCGACAATGCCGACAAACCGTGGTGCCAAGGACAGTGTCTCGTGTGCAACAGAACCGAGTGTGATCTGCTTGCAAATGTCGTTCAAGTGCATCTCGTGTGGGATAGAGTGCAGCACAGTGTATGCAGACATGATCAACAAGGTCCTGTTCAGCCGGATGTTGATGTGCATGTGGTAGCGGAGCCTCAGTGGTGAGTCGGTTCCATTGAGAGAGCACGGCAGCCTGTAGGAGAATCTTGCATTGATGGGAAGTACGATATTGAACTTGACACAGCTCACAAGGGGAGCTTCGATGGTGAGCCCATTCTTCATAAAGGCGCTGGCTGATGAGAGCCAGATTGCCATGTTCCAACTGAAGATGATGAACCATGTCTGAGAAGCGGGATTGCTGTCTGCCACAACCACAACAATGGGTGAGCATGTAATTGACGAGTTCCTTGTTGTCTCCAAGGGCCTGGAAGGAAGGGCCCCGAATCAAGGGCACCGCCAATGTGCGGATCTTGTCCAGCTCCATGGAGTCAGCCTGAGAGTCATCAAATTGGGAGCAATTACCAAATTCAATGTGGGTGCGAAGATTAGTCCACGACTGAAAGGTTTTGTCACAATGTCGACACTGAGGAAGACCAGCAAGGGCGTCTCGTTCAATCCTGAAAAAGAACAATCTGCCGTGGCCCCGTGCATGCATGTGATGTTCATGTCGACTAAGAAGTGCAGCAGTGCTGAATCTAGCAAGACAAGTCCGGCACTGGAAAGCAGGCACTGTAGGGTCAACCGGAATGGCCTGAGAAACAATCCAATGATCCAACAAAGAGACCAGTTTCTGCGTCTCAGTCAGTGGAATCTGATGAAGGATGTCGGTATGGTCCAAGGTGTCCAGTTTGTCATGCCGGCCTTGCAGGATCCGGAGGCACGCCCGTCGGAGATATACGGCCGGTGGCTCAAGTTCAAAAACTTCATGAAACTCTGCATGTGTTCGATGTGTATCGCGTGAATGATCATGCATGAGCATACGTCTTTGCAAGGTCAACTGAGAAAGCAACTTCCTGAGCCCTGCAGGATGGCATCCAATCATGGGCAAGCCATACAGCGTGGTAGTTCTGACCACTGAACACCATAATGAGTCCCGTTGACGTGGCGAAAGGCCCTTTTTCGAACAAAGCCATGGTCGAAGGCGTTGAAAGGCCCGAAGTCCACTGAGGAGACGGTGCTGCACTGATGCAGACTGGAGGGTCTTGTAACTCAGCTTGATCCCTAAATATGGAACAGTGGAGTGCAGCAAGACCTTGGACACCGCAGCATTGTTCCGAGGAAAACCGATGTACCAGCCGTCCTCGGTGCGCTTGAGGAATCTGGCTTGTGCCTTCTTGTGTGCACTGCCCTGCAAGGAGACCATGGAAAAACATTTCTGTAGATTGATCTGTAGATTGTATTCCTCCAGAATGTCAAGGAGAATGCCACAATTGTGAACAAACTGAGAGAGAGATTCCATGGTCGTGCAAGATTGGTGGACCAAAAAGTCATCAGCATAGATGGTAATGCACTGCTCAATCCATTCCCAGGAGGTCTGTTCGGCCAATCTAGAGAGTATACTGGTTGTGAGGCAACACCAAAGAAAAGGAGCAGCTTTACATCCTTGTCGAACCCCACGATGAACCGGAACAGCCGAAGAAAAACCTTTGTGGGAAATGTCATAGTGGGTGCCTCGATGCCATTCATGTAGCAAATGTAGACAGTCCCTTCTAACCCCCAAATCTTCCATCCCACGAAACAAAAGGTCCCGGGAAACACTGTCAAAAGCCTTGCTCAAATCAAGGCTGAGAAGTGCACCGCCGATCAGGCCAGTGCGAGCCAGTTGGGAGTTCTGTCGCTCCGCAGGTCGCTGGAATTGAGTGATCAAATGCGCAACTTCCTGACAGTGATGTACGGCGCGTGCTATTGCATCCGCAGTGCCCCTGAAGGGCAAATAAGCCAGCTGGGGTGTGGAGCACAGAATATCCAACACAGATGCTCGAGCTCGCTCACTCACTAAGCCAATCACCGCTTTTCCAAAGACTTCTTGTAAGGCCAGGGGGCGGAGGTTTTTGGCAGAGTTAGGAGGTTTACCAGGCTTAGGAAGCAAAAACAGGTGCCCACTTTTCCAGGAGGTTGGGATATAGGGATCAGGTCTATGCCACCAAAGGTGTAACAGGGACATCAACTTACTAGCAATCAGGCTGGGATTACAAAGGACACTTAATGATGCGCATGTGCCGGGGGCATTGGCTTTCAACGGTGCCAGGCTCGAAAGCGCTCTCACCAAGTCTGCTTCAGTGAACGGAATCCCTGGACCTGTCGATGCACGGAAGGGCGGAAGAGGGGCCCCGGACCAGGTGGTCTGAACATATTGTTTCAGGGATGTAAATTCCTCCATTGGGCTAAGGATCCTACCGGATGCATCGCGAATTTGGATGCGTGTCGTCTTCTCCTTGGGGTTCAGCCGCCTGACAAGTTGATGTAATCGGCTCAAATCGTGTCGATCAGCGGCTTGCCTGGCATCTGTCAATACCTGCTGAATGCGATCTTCTTTAGCCTGAGCCGATGCAGTCTGTTGATCACGGTGGACCTTCCTATGCTGCGTGATCAGCTGCCAACATTCAAACATGGTGCGAAGAGACACGACTCTGGGGGTCTTGATCAGCTTGTACAGTGCCCATTTCTGGGAAGCAAGACCTTGAACCTGTCCCGTGGTCATGAGCCGTTCAGCTGTGTGTGAAAAGGTGTTTTGCATATCGGAAGTCAGGTGTGTGTGCAAATGTGTGAAGTTGCCATCACTGGGCCACCTGACGTGGGCTAGATATTGCGTGGTCCTGCGCACATAGTCCTGCCATCTGGCGGTACCTAATGTGCGTTCAGAGCGACCCCTATTTCGGTGAGCAAAGCTGACAGAACTCAGTGCAGCTCCTGTCCACGGTTTCCAAGCCATGGAGATGGAGCAGACCAAGGGACAATGACCCTGCAACGAAGTGCCCATCAAGGGGCAACTTGGGATGGGAGAACACTGGCGGGCCTCGTGATCGACCTGCTTCAGGCGTGTACATACAAAATCGATGCGAGATCCAGTGCCTTTGTTGCCATGAAAAGTGGCAGGCAGGCCAGGAAGCATGGTGTTGACAGCACACAATCCATGTTGCTTGAGGATGGCACTCAACAAGTGTTGGTCAGGGTGTTGAAAGCCAACAGTTGAATGTCCATCATCTCCAACAAAGTTAGCATGTGCAACATGAGGTGGTTGAAGTGGAAGGCTCGTATTAAAATCTCCAACGAGGAGGAGATTATTACGTGTGGGAAGCATAGCAAGGCATTCATCCAGAGTTCGAAAGACATCTTCTCTAGTTTGCAAGACATGAGGCATGTGTTGATACGTTTTCTGGTAAAAGTTCAGGATGTCAAGAGGCCGCTGATGATGGATGCGGACATGCAACAGCCTACCATCCAAAACACTTTTCCACGAAAGTTGATCAATGTTACAAAAAGTCTTACGAACAGCTACCAGAACCCCAGTCGACTGTCTAGGGTTACCTCCGGCAGCAATTAAGTACCAAGCTTCATGATTCCATTCTTTGATGCCATCCCATCGAATCTCTTGCAGAGCAAGGATCTGAATCTTCTGAGGCCTTGCCCATGCCAGGATCTCTTCCAGCTTGGAGCGGCCCAATCCACCACAATTCCATGAAAAGAGATGCACTCGATTCCTCAACTCGCGGCACGACGGGGTCACGGAATGAGGCAGGGGAATCGTTCCGGTCGAGGGCAAGGCTCGAACAGTGGTGCCAAGAGCACAAGCATCATAGAGTTTACCCCTATACCATGTGAATCCATCACGTTGTGCACGCTTCACGGCCCTACGATAGCTTCGTTTGTGATTAGAGATCAGGTGATGATCTTTATTGCCATTATGCAATCTACTGTTGGGCGTGTGTCCATGTTGTTTCGTGGCGAAGGGTGGGATATTCATGAAAGCATCATGCCCAGCCACTCCCGTGGCAGCCATGGATCTGCCACAACCCTCGCTTTCCAAGTGTGCAGTATATGGAAGATTGCTCAACATGTTGGCACACTTGCCGCGGAATTGGGACCACGGCCTAGCTAAGATAGGTGGGGCAAAGAGGCCTGCGTCTACTTTAGTGGACCAGCTGCGCTCAAAAAGGCCGAGGTCACCAAGGAAGGGCCAAATCCACGGCCAGATCCAAAGCAAGGCCAGCTGCATGCAGCAGCTCCACCAGCAACGGCCGCTGCAGGAAGCGCCGATTCAGCGCAACCCATGCACGAGCGCCACGGGGTCGAGACGCAGAGCCATCCCAGGGGCTCTTGGCTAGGAAAAGCTTAACAACAACAACAACAACAACAACAACAACAACATAAGTATTACAATGTATATATATATATATTGTACATAATTTATCACATCATCCGTCATCAATATCAATCATATCACATCATATCAACCAAAACATGTCCGGGCGTGGACCTGGCCGGAACACTGGTTGTGTGGTTGTGCTGGAACTTGTGGGAGAGTTTCTACTGGCAGATTCTCTGATCTCTCAGCATCTCTCAGCTTGTCCAAAATAATTCTGGCCCCAACTCAGAAGATCCATCAGCATCATCCAGCATTCTGCTCTTAGAGCAGCCTGACTTGCTCTAGCAGCTTTGCGGACAGGGGACAAAGAAGCAGCTGAACTGAAACACACACAGTGCAGTTCAGATTCATGGGCAGAACTGTTGTTTCTTTGACCCCAAACCACCGTCCACGACCGGCCCTCTGCCGTGTGTGCTTCAGTTGAGATGAAAGGAACCACCGGGCCAGTGGAGGGAAGGACGTCACCAATGCTCCTCTTCCAAGGATTGACGAAAGGGGCGGACGTGAGGGTAAACAACAGCGAGCGGACAGCGGAGGTCAACAGGGGCTCATCGAAATGGGAACAGCTCATCGAAATGGGAGCAGTTGACAATCTTCTCACAGGAAGCGACTCCATCAACGATTGACTCAATCATCGAAACCCATCGATCACAACTACATACAACATCATACAAATACCAGTATCTTCAACATTCTTCAACACCAGCCCCTCAAGAAATGGCCGTCTTGAAACCACACGCGGCGCCGCGGCGTACGTGGCGTACCTGTACTTGCCAGACTCCCAGTCACCGAAAGCAAGCTCTTTGATTTGCTTTTTCAGCTCTTCAATGGATTTCCACTTCCTGAGTTGCGACCAGATACGAGATCTGAGATCCAAAGACTTGCTGCTGAGCTTTTTCATGCTTCAGACTTGATCAGCTTTGTAGGATTAAAAAGACTTACTGTCAACATACTTTGGATCAATCGTCTTATTGATTTCCCTAGCTATAGTCCTCCTCCTTCTTCTTCTGCTTCTTCTAAGGCCACCTCTGCACCAAATCCGCCCATCTAGGAGGATTTCCCGACCACCTCAACCCACATCATCCCTGGCTGAGCTACTCCTCGTCCTCCTGAAGCAGCTTCTTCAAGGTCTCCCGGTTCCCCTTTTCCGCTCCGGCGCGATCCCCATGGATCAAGGTCGAGGCGGTGCTGTGTGATACATAAGGCTCCCAGTGAACGTCTTTGTTGTCTGTTTGTTTCTGGGATAATTTTTCAACTTCTTATATTCTTTCCAAACACGTTGAAGAAAAACAAGATCCAACTTTTGGGGCGACACTCTGAAACGATTTCTCACTGTTTTACCTCTCATAGGATCGGTGGGTGCAAGACAAACACAGGCGCTGTCGATGGGGTCGTCCATTGGATGTTCATCAAACTGCTGGATGTTTCATGAGCTGGATCATGTGGATCGTGATAGACTCTGGGGACTCTGGGGATGTTCCATGGGACAACCACCCGAAATGAACATGGACTAATGAACTCAGATGAACTTGGTCCATGCTTACTAGCAGCCTAGCATAGTTTTTGAGGGTCAGCAACCAGTTTTGCTGAATGACTTGAATGTCCTTGGTCCCTTGACTCTTCACCTGCCAAAACATCTATCCTCCAGTATAGAAGTTAAAACGAACGAAGAAGCTTCGGAACATTGCTAGGGGTGGTCTGCTCAATTATTCCACTTCAGGCTACTGATGGATTTCTTACCGTCCTTTTCCGCTTCTCCGCGTCCCTCGCTGTCGCGTGTCACTCGCCTCCTGCGCCGCGCGGTGGAAGCCGGAACGCTTCTCCGGCGGCTTGTCGCGGTGGGAGCGGGACCTGTGGGCAATCGCTTCCCATGGCAGGGGCAGGGGCAGGGATTTGAGTACACGTATGTGAAGCAAACAGCAGTTTGGCAAGGGTTTAAGATGGATAAACCGGTTTATTTAAAGGAGTTCATGGGTGAGAAAATCACCAGGAGGTTGGTTGGTCCATACAAACCGATTATATATATATATAAGAATGTATCCATTCGCGGAAGGAGTCAATACCACGCAATGGTACCAACATAATCCAACATACAAGTGTGTATGTCTTTTAACAGGGAGACCACCTGGCCCAAATGGGTCTTTTGCCCTTGGCAGTACCTGTCCACCAAGAGAAAGACAGGTCTATTTCCGAACCTTGCAGGAGGTGGAAGGGACCGTCTCCCTATTATACATACAAGGACTAAGTGTCCCACTCTTCTGGCCCAGATTGCGAAAGGCTCTAGGAACAAGAAAAATTTTTTTCAGGAACAAGAAGCTACGAACGGGGCTCTTGCTCCATCGCTACTAGGAGCGATCGGACGCTCCAGGAGCTTTTTCGCGCGCGCGCGTGGCGTTTCCGGAGCGATGAAATGAAGACCCGCCGAAGCCTCGAGTTTCGGCCCTTGGTGTAAATCATCTGCGTCAGGGTGCCGTATGTTGTGTGACATGTGGACTGTCCTCAAGGCGGGTCTGCCCTTCTACGAATCTGTCTTCCTGATCGCCTGTGGAGGCCCCTTCTCCTGTTCCAAGTTGGCAACACCCAGGTTTTCACCCTCACTCTTGACCGGCGCTGTTAACCGTCAGTTCGCACCTGAACTGCTTGCCCTCCTTCAGCCAGTAGACTTCCCGCGACGCTGCCCGGTGCCTCAATTTGTTCCGTGCTATGCGCGGGAGAAAAGGATGGTGAAGTTACCAGGGCTCCAGAGGGTTGTCTATTGATAGACCCCAAAGGAGGTGATTCGGGGTGTCCATTCACCCCGTCGGGGTTTTTGGGTCCAGCATAGGAACGATCAGCTCAAGATGATCACACACACTCTGACTCTTGAAGAGCCCCGTTCGTAGCGTCCTTGCTCCTAGTAGCGATGCCAGGAGCCCCTAGTAGCGTTCTTGTTCCTAGAAGTAAGGCCAGGAGCTACTGGTAGCGTCCGGCCTTGGACATACAACATTACAACCTTTAGTGGGGTGATTTGCAAAGGCTGACAAGTATGGCCCAAGCCTCACTGCTTCGATGAAATCCAACAAAGATCGACAAAGAACTTTTGAGTCTGCGAGTCTAACGTTCCCATATTCAGAATAGATGGCAACCTCGTAAAGGTATAGCTTATAACGTCTCGCAAAGAAAAACATGAATGGATGAAAATGGCCTGTGCTATTCGTCGTCACAGGTTGTCCATTTCCATCCATTTCCCCGATGTCCATGCTCCAATGAACGGCAACTAACATATATAAACATATGTGTAGAATGTATAGACCCCCAAATAGAACAGTACGAGTAGAAATAGGACAGTAGATCCCCACTAATGATGTATGTATATGATGTACTAATATTGGAAGCATAGGAAACGTTTGTTTAATCCAGTTTGGAAACGAACAAAATAACACCTGGAACCTCACTCCCATGACCGACTCCAGTGCCATACTGGAGTTCGGCCGTGTTCCACCGCCGCAGCACCACTCTGCTCAAGGTGCACTTGGAGGAGGCGAAAGTTAAGGCTCCAGTTCCGACTAAACAAGGCGTAGCCTGCCTGGAAAAAAAGGACCGAAAACGGCCTCAAACTGCATGTCCCTGGAAACGCCACACAGCTTCCAAAACGTCCAAAGCTCAGTAGATGCAGTGTCTTCCTAACCTCAAAACGGTCTCCATCAGTTGCAGTAATTTGCGCAGTTTAGTTTTTAGAGTAGAGTTTAGATTTTAGAACCAAAACGACCCCTGGCTTCATCACGCTTGGCTTGTTACTGTTTGGTCCAGTGGCTCTGTTTCTACAGAAGGCTTCAAAGGCTTCAAGCTTCAACCATGGAGCTCAATATCTATTGATCTATTGTCCTGGACACGTTCCAAGGGCAACAAATGCCCCATGCTTTTCAGTTCTTCTGCAGTTCTGCTGTTTGTGCGTCTCCTTGGTGTGCTGCTTTGATCTGTTTTGGCCATCGTGCTCGAACACGACCGAACTGTCAGTAGTCTCGGTCAAGACTCGCTGCCGCAGGGAGTCTCCCTGCAGAAAGGCGCAGTCTTAAAACACAAGGACAAGGATCCGCAAAAACCACCATCGGAACAAACAAACCCAACCACCAGGGCCTTCTTTCGGGGTGGTAGACATGGACACCCCTAACTTAACAGCTAGTTGGGCCTATTTTCATAGACACCCCGAACGAGTCGGGTCCTGGCAACACTTCGATGTAAAAACAGGTCGACGGATGATGCTCCGTCGACCTACGTCCGCAGGTCCGGTCCTGGCGCAGCACCCCGAACAAGCTGCTCTGCACGGCCAGCGCGAACTGTGGCACACCCACGGAGTCCGCCACGGCGTCAACGATGGCCAAGCGGTCCTGGACTTCCAGCTACATCCATTCATCCAGCCATTCATTCATCCATTCGTATCAGATCAGCTCCGAAGATTGACAAAGGTTAGAATACTGGTCATTCACCTGGAGAATGGACCCTCAGAGGGAGTACTTTCCGTCCATTCACGTGCGGTCACGTGGCCACAGCCAACCTCCAGACTGGCCACAGCGAACCTTGAACCTTTACCGCCCGAGGAGGTGTTGCAACGAAACCTGATGGCCAGGCCCAGAGCAACGCCGAGAGCAACGCCTCCAGAGCCGAAGAAACAGTGAACGTTCACCAGTTGCCCTCTAAGTGAGTGGATAATTGAAACAGCAGCCCTGTCACATTCACAGCGACCATCGAAGACCAACAAAATCTGCCAAAACCGCAGCCTGCAAACCAGTTGGAGCCAAAAGCCGGAACTGTTCCGGCCACCGCAGGGTCTAACCTGCTGGCTGCAAAGCCGCGTTGGCACTCTTGAGGCCTCCCCTTTTTGAGGGTGCTCTTCGAGTCGGTCCTGTACAGACCAATCGGTGGTGGGGGCCAAGCTCCGGAGCAGTCACGCCTCCCCCGCACGGGGCACCACGAACATCCCCAGCAAGCGCATTAGCCCATTCGCCTTGCTGTCATACATCGCCAGGCATTAGCCCATTCGATGCGTTGGCCTCAAGGATGTTACACCCAAGCGCCTGCACCCGGCCAGCGGTGCATCAACTGCTGAAACTGAGGAACCTTCAGGGCCTCCCTGACGTACGTCATAGGAAAGAGCCCCTTTTGCAGTTGTCAGGGTTGGCGCCAGAAAAACACCGAAAACATCAAGCCGCCTCCAGCACCGCAAGCCGGTCCCACACGGAGTCGAACGGTCTGAGTCGAGAAGGCCGTCGTTTGCAGCTCCGGAATCGAACGCGTGTGCCGTTGGTGCGCCCGGCGACATGCCGGTTTTCCTCGGTGTGGACGTCTACGGCAAAGACCCAACTTTAGGGAAGGACATAACAGGCTTGTGAAGATAACCACTGAGATGTACAAGTGCCTGGGCGATCTATATGTATATATATATATATATTTGTACGCATATCTATATACACGCATATGTATGCCTCATATGCCGAAGCAACTGGTATACTTCCTTGTGGGCAATGAGAAAAACCAAGCACTTCAAACCATGGCAACTGCACTTCCGCCTGTTACATCTAGCCTGTTCGTTTTGGCCGCAATTGATACCCCAGCCCAAGTTTGGGGTGCTTTGTTTGGACGATTTTGAGTGGCACTTTCAGAAACTGCAGGTGTCCTTTATCATCTTTATCTGGCTCTTGGAGACCAATCCCGCAAGTGGGACACACATATAAAGTACATAGTATAGTACTCTCCGAGTGCTCTCCAGTCTCCCAAAGGAAGCTACCCCATTTGCATACATTTGTCATCTTTGTAGGACATGTTTGCATTGTTAACAATGGCAACACAGTTTTTGTTGCGGTATACCACGTTTTTTCTACATCGCCGATATCGTCTTCAACTCTTTACCGTTTTGCCAGTGCTTCGTGCATACATGGTGTTGCATTGTTCCGTGCGTGCAGTCGCCACCGGGGAACGACCCCACCCCAACCCGTCCTCCTCGTTGCTCGCCAGGGCCTCCGTGGGCTGGAGCTTCAGCAGTTTGTCCGCCAAGGTCAGCAGCGTTTTGGCCAAGGCAGGTGAAGCATGGACGTTCCTGGGCGGATCTTGTGGATCCGAAAGAAGCGAGGCGAGAAACAAGGAGAAGTTCGAAACATGGGGACTAGGGAGGTACTGTAGTTTGTTGGAGTCCGATTGAATGATGTAAACAGTAAACAGTAAACATGTAGCATCATGTAGCATGTGATGCGTTGCTTCAATTCAAGATCTTCGTGCAAGCGAAGACATTGTGGTCATGTTAAATTGATCGGTCCGTGGCTGGTCAACTGCCCACATGTTGGGACGTGAAGAACATCGAGAATTGATGTGTACTTGAGATACCTTGAGGGACAAAGACATACCCAGACACGACACATGGGACTGCCATAGGAGTGCCGGTCAGTTGGGGTGGTTTGGGGGATCAATGTAGGCATCTATGGCAGTCCCATGGAGTGTCTGGGATACACTTAGACTTACAAACAAGGATATATGAATGGCGAAGGAGTGACGGTGCCCCCCACTGTGATGATGTGCTGAAGGAAGGCCCTGCCTCAAAACTTATTTGTGCAAGTGCCGTTTCAGGCAACTTGTTCTTCAAGAACAGTTGCATCATTCAAAGACTGTAAATCTGACCACATCCCTCAACACGTCTGATTCTCGTCTCTTTTGAAGGCATGGTGGATATCCCGTCCCTTAGACTCAGACTTGACTTCGGGCACGTCTGTTGTCCTTCCACCAAGAGCACATGTCCAATAAAGGGCCCCAAATGGCCTATCTGGCGAGCAAAGAAACAAAGCTATGTAGACTGGCGAGAGAGAAGGTGCGAAGGCAGCTCCGCAGTTGTCCAAACTATACTTGGCTAGGGTCCTCCACACATCAAATCAACAACGAAAAACGCTTTACGTCAACAACCTGGGCGATCCCCAAAAAAGACAGCTCCTGGATGGGTCACTTTCGTTCTCTATCGAGTCTCGCTCCTTTGAGAACACCAATCACCTCCCCTGAACTCCCTTATCGAATGATCACTCTGCCCACACCCGTTCACACTCTTTGACCCAACGAAATGAACACCCGCCCCCGCACCGGTCCAAGCCGTTCCATTCACCCACAAACCAGGCGCTGGCCAAGCAGGACCCCATCCTTGGTCGCCACGTAGAAGGGAAGCTCTAGAACCTTCGCGAAGACCGCGAGCCCACACGGCGCGAACGGTGCAGTTGGCGCGGCGCTGTACACAGTGAGGGGGTCGGGACTTGGGAGTGATCTTGAAGTGCACTGGCCTGGAGAGCGTGGAAAGGGCTAGACTTCTAGAATCATCTGGAAGGACAAAGCCCCTGGAAGGCAATGTGTTTGTTGAGAGGAGCGTACAGTGTCTATATAGTCTATAATATTTAACTATATACTGGGCGGCTGCGCTAAGTCACCCCTTCCCTGAAAAAGTCACCCCACTGCATGGGCACACGCATTCAAGAAAAAGTCACCCCATTGGGAAAAGTCACCCCATAGACTTTGAATCACCATGGGCACACAGTTTACGTTGCCAATATGTCAAAAGTATGCCGTGAACAAACTCTCTGAGCAGACGGAGTGACCATCTATGTTTGGAATGAATCGGGGTCTTCTTTTGCAGAAGGAACTCGATGGGCACACTGTTTGATGTCATGTTTCTCTTCCTCTTGCGGTGCAAGCATGCAGGCTGCTTTTTCCCCCTCACTTCTTCGGCTTTGGTGCTTTAGAGAACATGTGGCTTCTGTTGGCCGACGTGCTCGAGCGCCAAGCTTCTCTGCCTGACTTAGCCACTTCCATGTTGAACACATTGTGCAAAGGCTTCGACTTTGTACATTGTGGCTTCAAGGTCTGTCGGACAAAGTAATATGCCAGGGTGGATACCTCTGGATGATGCTTCTTTGCAAAGCTGCACGTCATATACCCCACGCAGCCTTCTACCGTGAACAAATCCCACTCAGTCTCACTGTCGCAAGCGTCATCCTCCTAGGCAAGAGACAGAAAGAATGTTTCATCAATCTCTTCATTTGGATTTCTTTCGGTTCTAAAAAACACAAACTCTCCTGTGGCCAACTTAAAGAAATATGCAATACAAAACAAAAGCCGTTTCATTCCAGTAGGTCGGCTTCCTCTGGCTCTGCTTCTGCTGCACACGCCTCCGCCTTTGCCTGCTTAGGTGCAGATTGAGCTGCATCACCTGGCTGCGCGTCCTCTTCGCAGAGTTTCCTCTTCCTCATCTGCTTCATCAAGTCCCCCGACCAACGAGCCAGATGAGCCTTGGTTGCGCCTTGGACTGTCAGCAACGCACCTTTCACATCTGCTATTGGAGGCTGCTCACGTGTGTAGCCGCTGTGCTTCGCTCCACGACTCACAGCCTCAGCAACACTGCAGTGATTCTGGTTGCCATCGCCACACCAAGCGCACTTGGGATATGCACTGGGAGTCATTTTCCCGCAGCTTGCGCAGGCAGTCTTCTCAGGAGCCCGGCGGTATCCAACAGGCGCTTGCAGAACTTGCTTGCCTTCTTCGGTCTTGCTCTGCATGTCAGACTTCGGCACTATGGATCGAAAGAGCTGTGCGCCGCGATCTCCAAGAACACGAGACCTTCCCACTGCTTGTTTCTGCACCAGCCCTCATTTTGCAAAACCGGCTGTGATGTATCGAGCTGTATACGCTTCGTCCCACACTTCGTGGCACATATCAAGCGCAGCGAGCTGGGAGAGCCCTCAGGCCTCAGGCCAACGCCGCCCAACGACCAAACAGCCCTCAGGCCAAAACATGCTGGCTCTGATGTTTTCTCTCAAAACGTGAAGAATCATGAAGATACACCTTGGAAAAAATGTCGCGCCAACAGGCCGGCCCTGCACAGAGCTGGCTGCTAGACTGGCGCTCTTGCAAGTCAACTCCTTCAGTTTCTGTCAGGCATGGATCTGATGTACTCAAGTAAGTGCCTTGCAAGATCTCCCTTCGAGCCTGCCACCGATGTAACTCGATGACTCCGCTTCCGGCTTGGGTCATGAACGGCAATGCTCCTCACTTCTCCGGGCCATCGGCCCTGCTTGAAAGCAACCCAGTGAGGCCACTCAGACCTCTTTTTGTTGTTGCGTGAGGCCCACAAGCAAGCTGCACACGTAGCGCTTTTGGCCAACCATTTGCCGTCCTTCCCAGAAGGTAGATGCCAAGGAGCAGCACCGCTCTGTGGTGGCCATGGCTCGCCACACAGCTTGCAAGGTCCACCTTCTGTCTTGCCACTGCGGTTTTGGACCTTGCTGTTCAAGATCACTCCTCTTCGACCTTCAACAGCTCTTCACAGGTAGCCTTCTCACACAGACGCTTGAGTCTGAGCAGAGTCGCTTTCGATCCTCCACTGCCATCTGAGCCGCTTGAAGCTGCAAGAAGCAAATCACAATAGGCACACCCTCAAAAAAACAATAAATTAAAACAAGACCAACATACAAAATCCGCATGTGCAAACATGCAAGCCCGCAAGGGCACACTACAATGAGACGACTTTTTACGAGATGAGACGACTTGACCCCTGGACCTAGTATATATACGTATGCATTACAGTATACATTAAACACAAAAATAAAAACGAGTTACTCCCTTGGTCCCACTACTATGTCTCACTCTACTTTGATATTCAACAAACTCAAAAGGGGATGTATGCAAATAGCCTACTGCACTGCACCTGCTCATCCGTGCTTTCTCCGTGCGCGCGGAGAAAGGCACCATGCCATCTGTGTGACCCAACTTTGTCGGCAAAATTTCGCCGTGTGGCACTGGTGCGGAGGACTTCGTAGATGCACCAAATGCGAGTCAAAGGCATGGCCTCCTCGTCCATGACCATGACCTGAGTTGCACTGGGCCAGTGCCAAGGCAAGGCCACTCGCATCGACACCGGGCATCGGACGATCGAACTCTTTTTCAAAGTGAAGCGCCTGAAAAATTACAAGATGCTCATGGACACCCTCGCTGAAATAATCATGGAAGTGGACGTTCTGGCCCCGAAAGGAAGACGATTTTCCTTTACCAGGTGATTGTGGCAGGGAGGTTATCTCTCCCAACAACTCCACACTCTCTCCCACTCTCATGTTGGGAGGGTAGTCTTATATTTCTTTGGCCTGGCTCGTTGTGATGACTTGCCAATCCTCCCAACACCCTTCCAGCTTCGGGCGTCGCTCGAAGGGTGGCACATGGGTAAACAGCCAGTGAACCGAGACCTGGCCATCCTTGTAATGTAGACGGATTTATTTCAAAAACACCTGCGATACTTTCGTCACTCTGCAGACACTCTTGCAGGACATTGTTGTAGGACACTCTTATGCGAAAATATTGTGGAGTCTTGTGCAGCACTCTTGCGGGACACTCTTGTGGGACACTCACGTACGACACTCACGTACTCAAATGTAATTGGGCCACGTAAGTTGACAGCTCTGAGGCCACAGCTCCCAGAAGCTGCTCTTTGTACTACATTTGTACTACCGAATGGCCAGTTCTGAGGCCACAGCTAAAGTTGCCAGTTCCGAGGCGTGAGAGACCAGAAGCCATTTGTACTACCAAGTGGCCTGTCCTGAGGTCACAGCTCCTCCCAGGAGCTGCTTCCCACAATACATTTGTGCTACAAGTTGCTGCACTGTTACAGGACACTCATGCATGACATTCTTGTTAGACACTCTTGTAGGACACTCTTGTGGGACACCCTCTGGGACACTCTTGTGGGACATGGGACACTCTTGTGGGGGACGCTCTTGCGGAACACGGGCACTCTTGTGGGAACCAAAAGCGCCATTTGAGATATTTGAGCTGAGACCTGTCATGAAAACACAGCTTCGAAGCAACAGCCTGAAACGCAAATCACAATCTCACAGCCACATCCCAGACCCTAAAGACACCACCCTCCAAACGCCAATCCCAATGTGACTTCGCAGAAAACTGCCCATCTCACAAAACACTGCGCCTGCGCAGTGAAATCATCATCCACACTTCATCCTCTCACGTTTCCACACGTTTCCTCGCTATGTCACACGAATCTGACACGTTATGCTTCCATCCAAAACCCTCTCCAAAAGCTTCCCCAAGGTGAGCGTCGTAGCGCCCTACTGCGAACGGTTGACAACGGCAACGCTCAAACAACGAGTCGCGAGCAAGGCTCTACCCCAAGACCCCCAGAGTTAAACGAGAACCCTTTGCTACGCATTCGGGAAAAACTGTATATGATTGTATATGGAAATGCAAAGCCATTCTGGTATAGGCTTTGTTTATCAACCGTCTGCGTGATACCATCATTTTTCGGTGGGTCCGAGCCTATCGAGCCTTGTAGCGAAGACAGCTGGGATCCTGGGATCCATCATAGAGTTCTTCGACAGGAAAGTCCAAGGGGAACAAGTTGATGAAAGCTGTCCACAAAAATCCCATGGAATGGCATCGCCCAAGATCACCAAAAATCAGAACGTCGTAAAAAAGGTCCCTTTAAAACAAGCTGTAAAGACATGCAAAGAGAAGAAAGCACGCCACCCAGTCCAGTCCGATGTGAATTACGGTTCCAAGAGGCCACCGCTTTGCAGCTGCGACTGGCCAACGCGCGCTCGAAGGGTGAAGTCTCCAAGGATTGTCCCAGGTTCACCTGAGTCGGCTGCCCCGGTGGCTGCGCCCGCTTCGGCCGTCCCAGTCACTTTTCTTCAACAGTGAGAAGCTAAGTAAAGCAAAGGTGGGCAAAGACCGGAAGATCTGAACGACCAGTGTTTCTGGCAGTTCTGGGTTCTTATCTTTCTCAAGAAAAATGTTCAAGGATGTTCATGTTCTTTCTCCCACTGTTCAATCTTTGACAAATGCTTTCGCGCATGGTCATGAGTCATAATCGTTGCGAAAACAAACAGCCACTCAGGAAGGACTTGTCACGCGCTTTTGAGTTTTGTATGTTGTCTTTTTCTGCAGGCTGGTCTATTTGTTAGCATTGCCAGGTTTCAACCGGGCGTAGCATTACCAGTTGGCAAAGGAAAAAACGGCAAATGGATTGTAATGATTGGCAAAGGACAAAACAGCAAATTGATTGTAATTCATTCCTCTGTGATCTTGGCTAAAGCATGCTAAAGCCCTTTCTCTGGGCACCTGTTCACTTTGGATAGCCGGAGTGAGGAAACACCAAAACATCTTGATGCAGCCAAGGCCGCAGTCCATTGGGCATTGGCGAAGCTGCAAATCCAGAACCTGAGCACCGCTGGGCACCGCTGCACCGACGTGACGGGACCCGTCGGGTGGACGACGTGAGGGTCGTCCCGTCGGAACGGTCGAGTCGGAACGCCGCAGACGACGTGACTTCCCCAATCAGCGAAACTGTTTGAAGATGTTGATGGAACGACAGGCAGAACTGCTCAAGCCTCCCGGTTCACGAGCATCCCCCATGAATTGTTGTTTTTCTTACTGTGATGAGTTAGTATTCAAAAGTTGATTCCTTGCGCGCTCGCCCCCCAGTCCACCCTTGCATTTTGGACGTTCCTCGGAACCTGAAACCCTAAACCTTCCCATGTCCGTCAAGGCACACCAAGGACTCCGGGTCACGATCAAACCTCATTCCAGACAATGGGCTGCTTGCAAGTCCCTAAGGCTCCAACTACCTCCTCAGAACGTGGTTAGACCCCCCTAACCCACCTCAACCACCTTCTCAGGAGTTAGGCCAGGAGCCGAAGGGATTGTCAGTGTTCGTGAAAGTTTCCGCAGGTGCCTATTGGTGGCATGGATCCAGTGACTCCAGTGTTTGAGGCGGCCCAATGCAGAAAAAAGGCCGCCTCAGAACCGATCCAACGTGGAAGATGGAAAGGATCGTTGCCCTTTGTTGATTTGAAGGATCAACGGGCAAACACCTCCATGCGAGAAAATTGGGTGGGTTGGGTGATTTCGCCCAAGCAAGTTGCTGAGCAAATAGCAAAGACAAACACAGGTTTCCTGCGGATCTAATGAGCCTTGACCCGGCATTGGGAGAAAACGACGTTGCCAACAATGAAGAACCTTGGACCCCTACGATACCTTGGAGGGTGTGGAGATTTATTCAAGAGCAGGTGGGGGGCTTCCTGGAAGAAAGCTGAGTTCGTTCAAAACATGTCAAAACAACTGGTGCGAGGAACACTGCGGAGTTTTTGGGTGGTCCCCAACAAGGGAATCATGGCGCCAGCAATTGCAAAGGCATGCAAAGGCACGGCCGGCCATGTGGCCAAATGTTCTGTGAACCTTTCTCAGCATCAACTTTTCAGGAGAACCATTGATGACACGGAGACGACCATCTTCGTACCATGAAGAAAACCCGTCTTGTTCAGTTCAAACATGGGTGTTGATCTAAATTCCTTTATCTGGGATCCGTCATTTTAGCCGGGCAAAATTTACTTTAGCCAAACTTTCGCCTTCCTGTGTTTTATCTTTCGCCGAAGTATGTTGTATTTATGTGTGCCACGTATATTGTATGATGGATGTCAATTTTGTTCACGTCAATGGCTTCACTGTTTGTCAACATGCGTCTTCTACTTAACTGTTGACACCCTGTACGTCTCTTTTGTTTCTCGTGGGTGTCAGCAAGAATCAAAGTTGCAAGAATCATTGTATAGTAGCCGGTCACTCAGACTTACTCATAATGGACTGGGGGTCAGATGTGGCAGGGTGAACTTTCGCCAATCTTGAGCTGAACTTTCGCCAAACTTTCGCCTTTTGCGGAGTAGAGTTATGTGGCAAAGCCGCCCCCCCAAAGCAGGAGTAGTGGTAGTGGTAGTGGTAGTGGTCGTGGTGGTGGTGGTGGTGGTGGTCGTGGTCGTGGTCGTCGTAGTAGTAGTGGTAGTGGTAGTGGTAGTGGTAGCAGTAGTAGTAGCAGCAGTAGCAGGCGTAGTAGTAGCAGCAGCAGGAGTAGTATATAGTAGTCGTAGTCGTAGTGGTAGTGGTGAAGTAATGGTAGTGGTAGTGGTAGTGGTAGTCGTAGTCGTAGTAGTAGTAGTAGTCGTCGTCGTCGTCGTCGTCGTCGTCGTCGTAGTCGTAGTGGTAGCAGTAGCAGTAGCAGTAGTAGTAGTAGTAGTAGTAGTAGTAGAAGTAGTAGTAGTAGTAGTAGTAGTTAGTTGTTGTTGTAGCAGCAGCAGCAGGAGTAGCAGTAGGAGTAGTAGTAATAGCAACAGCAAGAAAAAGAACATCTTTAGTTTTTAGCCATATCTTTCGCCAAAAACCAATTTACTTTCGCGAACTCGAGAAACAACTTTCGCCAAATGAGGTTTTGACATGTTCCAGGGTCATCGTAGTCAACGCTATGTCTTAGGACCTTTAAATCGACAACCACATAGCTTTGCGTGAAGAATGCCTGGCGGTCTTTCACCTCATTTCATTGAGGAAATTCACTTCGCGATCTTCGAAAGAACTCCAACGGGCGACCTTCGTTCACCACCTCGAACTCCAACGGCCAACGGCCAACCCTCCCCCCGCGCAAAAGCACACGGCCACACGGAGAGGGCTTGCCCCGTTTCCAAGTGGCAACTTGCTGCGCACCATCTCCTGCGCCTTGGTCGGTGAGCGCAAACTGTTGATTGAAAGACCAGCCTGGCTCAAAAAGCAAGCATTGTTCCAAGACTTGGAGAAGTTAGATGTAGACTGTAGACTGCTAATTGATTGTAATATACAGTCCTTCCTTTTGGATTGTAAAACTTCTCCATACGGGAATGAATCAACATATGTGGTCGTCCACTGGCAGTTGTTGCGGGACCAACCACACACTCTTCGCCGCTCTGGACAGGAGCTCCACCCCTACTGGGTTGTTGCTACAAAGGATGACATTTACGGTACTGTATCTGATTTGCCAATTCTTGGCAATGGCAACAAACGTCCAAGATAATGACACCTCAAATGTGAAACACAGCCGAAGTGCCCCAGCATCCAACATCTCCTACCCCAACCACTCTGAATGCAAGCTGAACGCAGCGACGAGTGAACGAAAAGCAACTTCTATATCAGCCTGTCAACACCAACTCAGAAACCTTTTCTATACCGAGTTCCATGCCAAGCCATTGGCCTTTTTCACCCCATAAGCCAAGCCGCTGCATGTTCCAAAGCCATCACAAACTCCTTGAACTCATGGCCCCACCAGTGCGACACGAAGACATCCACAGCTTTCTGGCTGAAGAGCTCTGCATAAGACCCTGCCGTGCGGAAGCCCGTACGCGTTGTTGGTGCCCAGGCCGCGCAGGCCGCCCTGGTTCCAACGCATCCCCCCGGGCCGGGCGCCAGGTGATCTGCACTGGATGGTACAGCAGGATGACCATAACCTTTTCTGACTCCTTCTGTGAGAAACATATACGTGATACCCTTGATACTTGCAAAGAAAGACTCTTCACGTTCGAGCAAGCTCCATAGTTGATATCTGTCATTGCATCTACCTTGCATCGCCTTCCATGCTCGAAAAACTGCATTTGTCAAGCACATGTTCAGTTGTCAGCCAGCAGCTCCGGATATCACCAAAACAACTCGTCAACTTGCGAAGTTACTTGCGGAGGGATCCCCTTGTCTTCACATCTCAAGCATTTCTTCTCCAAAAGAAGTTGGCGCTGGCGATGCAGGCGTTCCACGCGTGTTGAGCTCGTTTTGTTTGCTTCAACAAACAGGGAATACGGACGCTTCCCGACGCAGAAGGGGCTGCCGTGACCCGACAGGCCTTTGGTGGATGCAGTGGCAGGTTTCACGATCTTCGGCACCACATCATACATGGTTGGCAGCTGCATCTTCCTGTCAGTCACAAACAGCCTGAAATAGTTGGGTCAAGAACCACTGGTTGGAAGAAAATCCGTAGACCTGCGGTCCACTGGCAGGGGTGTCTGCCTCATGTTGAGAGGCACAATTGTTTTTGCATCGGGTTTCGATGTGTCGCTAGTAGATTGAGGGACTCTTCCAAACCGATCCTCTGCCCTTCTGGCTGTGGAATTGGGTGCAACAGGCACCAATCCCAGCAGTCCCAATCCTAAGAGTGAGATGCTTAGCGCCAACAGGCCCGGTCCCGGTCGTACGAGGTGCTTTGGGATCCGGTCCCGGCCCGATAGACAGGTCCATTCCATCCCATTCTCAGTAGTCACTAAGTCCCTTGATCGGTGAAAGAGGAGCGCCCAAGGGACGGCTCGTCTTCCCAAAGAAGACACTTCACCTCACGATCCTCACCGAAAACCGCCTCAGAGCCCGAAGAGCGGACCCAGCAACATCTGGAACCAGGCGGCTTTCTTCTCCACCGCCAGCTCTGGGTATTAAGCCCTTCATGGAAAGGTCCCAGGTACTGGGGAGGAGATTGGAGAACCCCCCATCAAGTCCATCCAATGAGACTGGAGATGATTGGAGAGCCCCAGAATGGACTTGAGTAGACTCAGTCTATTTGAAAGGTCGGACTAGACGATTGCTGTTTCTGACAGATCCAAGCATGTTTGGAAACTCTGAGTCTGATCGCGCTGGTAAGGCTGGCCACCTTGCCGTGGGAGCTCAACAGGCGACGCGAAGCTGGCCGCGTAGACGGCTTGACGCCGGATCGGGCGGCGATTGGCCAGGCCTGGCATAGGGGTTCCACTTGGGCGTTTCCAGCCAATCTCGATGCTTCCCGTACAAGCTCCAAAGCTGATCCAACCTGAACAAAGCGGAACAGGTTCGACCGACACTGAGAAAAGCGAGCGAGCTTTGGCATTGTGCAGCGCAGGTGGTGCAACACCCCCCTGTCTGGGCTAAATATTTCTGCCAGTGATATCACTTTGGAAGCAACCACGTGCGGTGAAATGCAATGAACCATAATGAACCATCTAAAACTCTCCCAAAGCCAAATTCACCCAACCTGCCTCCCGCAACCAAACAAACTCTATGGACACGCTGGAGGTCTAATTAGATGTACTCGTGTAGATAGATAAAGCGACTGTATGACATGAACCATGGGGGCCATTTTGCAATGTAGCTACGGTTGTAATATTAGAGATACAGTATGATATACACGGCTTTGGATCCCCACCTCTCCGCTCTCCCGCTCTCCCGGCTCCCTCCCTCTCTCTCCCGTAATCGTAGGCTCCCCGGCGTAATGCCCGCGATCTCCGGCGGGCGCATCCCTTGGGGATAGCGCCTTCCGCTCGTCCGACCGGCCCGTCGTCCGGCATGGTCCCGCATCGTCCCAGCTCCCGCGACGCGAGCTGGGCGATCGAAAACAGATCGATCGCCACCCGGGATGATGTGGAATTCAACATGAATTCATCATAGTTCATCCATCCAGAATCCAGTTCATCCATCTCAGCTTTGGGATGAGATTCAACCGTCAGAATCTCTGAAAAGCCCAACCGATCGTTCTCCCGCGGCCTGACGTTCTCCCGCGGGACGTTGGGTGCACGGTGCCGAAGGCTCCAGCTGCCTAGCTGTGCAAAGGCTCGGTCGCTCGCGGTCACGGAACATGACCAGTCAACTTGCTTTTGAACTGAATCTACTCTTCTGCAGACATACGTGCCATGTATTTAGGCCTTTTTTATATAGTCTCTGGCTTCCATGTATAAGAGCGGAAGTGTAGCACATCCGCACTATGCTGCTCGCTAGGTCTTGGTCTCCCTGAGAATCTGGAGCTCAGCAAAGGCGGTGTGGGAGCTCCTACCACGATTCCCCCACCATTGGGGAGCACGACTGGGCGTATCAATTCGAGCCTCCACAAGTCAACTTCAAAGGCTTTCTGGGCTTCGGGGGAACTCCCTCGGTCACTCGTGACCCGGGGACGAACTGGAAGACCCCGAGCTGTTGGCTCGCTAGCTACGCGTAGCTAGGGAGCCAACGAGCAAAGGATGTCCTTCCAGTCACCTACACTCCCAGAGCTTGAGCCACCCCCAAAGAGGGCCTCATCAGGAGTGTGCGGTTCATGCTTCAAGAGAAAAGACATCTATACTATATGAACAAAACACATACAATATCAATATCACTGCTCTTTTTTGCCAGGTATCCTGGCCACATTGTACAGCAGCATCTGTCTCGGGAACATCTGAAATAACCATTGAACAACCCCAAGATATAGCACCCTTGCTTCCAAGCACCAACTGCATTGGGCTGTTCTGCTTTTCACCGAGCGACCATCCTCATTCACCTTGTCAAATCGGACCTCGAAGGCGATGAGCGACTGATGAGAAACTGTAGAGACCACTGATGGTGTTTCATCATCTGAAAATGACTGGCAACGACCACTGGCAAAGACCTGTGGTAGAGACCACTGATGGTTTTGGCCCAGGTTTTGTCCACACCATCCCAATCTGAAGGTCGCACTGAGTCATACAAAAAAGATTACTAAGACAATGATGTGCTGTGGCGGCAGCAATCGAACATAGACTTGGCCAAGAGCACATGAAAAATACTTGCAAAAGTGATCCTACAATCTCGGTATGTCAAGTCTTTCCTATGAATCACGAGATAATTACATTGCACACCCATTTTGGTCCTCGGCTCAAGGTGTGGGCCTCATGGTCTTCACATCTTCGCTTAGGTGGGACATGGTGGGATCTAAAAAGGTCGAGGTTTCCAAAATCGAATCTTGTTGTGTTCTTTTTCGAGCAAACACATCTTGGAGAACACGGCCTTACCACAGGCGTTTGTCCAGGCCTCGTTTGTCCAGCCAAGATGTTGGGTTCCTTTAACTGCGATGTACGTGCCTGATCCCACTGGCTCTTATATCTCAAAGTATATCTTATATCAATTTCAATGTATATCATATATAGTATCAGTACATGGATTCACTTGGCAACTCTCTTCTGGCATCTACCCTCCCGGCTTCTTCGCCTGACTCGCACGACCTGCCGCCCGTTCGACCTCCCGGCGCCCGGACCGGGAGCCAGCGCTGGCCATCGATGTCGACCAGGTTACTGGCGCGGAGGGCTGCAGAGACCGGCGTCAGTGAAACCGCGCCCGGAGGAACCCTGGCAGCCGACCTGTCTTGAATGGCTGTACCTTTGAGGACTCACAAACATGACAAATAGACTCCGAATTAGACAGTAACTCTGCGAATATGCATGATATGTTATGATATTATAATTATAAGTAAGTATTATATGGAAGTGAAACACCACCACTCTGTCATCCTTAAAGTCTTACTTCTTGTCTACAAGCTCCTATTTTCGGGCATGTCCGACCCTTGACCTGACGGAAGTCGTTTGGGGAGGCGTGACCCGTCCAGTGTGCATGTAGAGGAAGTCAGTGGTGCCATTCGTGTGACCCGCGATTGATGTGTTCCATGGCATCTGTGTCCTTGGTACAAGGGGAAAGGGCTGGGAATGGGACCATATGGACCATAGAACCATATGGATCTTAACAACGAATTCGCTGATCGCCAATGGGGTCGGAAGAGTCCGGTCGGATCGTCCGCCAAGGGAGTGTCTGAGACGGGTCGGAGAGGGAATCGCCTCCGTTTCCATGCTGACCCATCAGCAATTCGTTGACCTACTCGCTGACCTCCCGTCCATTTGAGGTTGGGCCAAGGAGGCAGTCCGGGCAGACTGACTGAGTTGAAGGACCACCTGTTGGCATTTGCCCCCAAACTCTGCCGACGTAGAACCTGAAAGCAGCTTGAAGAACGACAAAGCTCACTTCCCGAAATGAACACACGACGGAATCTTTGGACGCTAAAGAAGCATTCAACTCTACACCACCTCATCACCATGCCCCTTTTCACGAACTCCGCGTGATAAAGCCGCCCTACCTTGGCTCGTAGGGGCTCTTCTCCCAGAGCTCCAACACCTGCCCCAGCCAAAGTCCGGAGAGGCCGTTTTGCGCCTTACTCTCCGAGTCATTTACATGGACATGGACGTAGAATTCACCACCTCTTTGGCATGAAAAACTTGAGGCCGAGGGTAGGTGACGAAAGCTAGCAGGGGTGCATCCGGACTGGTGGGACATCAAGCGGAGTGAGGCAAATGCTCATGAGGTTGTGAACATGTAAGACACACAAACAGCAATGACACAGCCAACCTTAGAATTGAAGTCCCCGATAATTAAGGAAGCGTGGCTGGACTTTGCCACACTGTTCGATGCATCCGATGTGTTCACGAACCTGTGAGCTTGTTGAATCTGTTGCGCTGTATCCCAAAACCTCCACGGAGGAGTTGAACCAGTGTGGATGCCATAAGAGGTGCCCA